CTACAATGCAGCTCTGTCAACTGGTCATGATTATATGACACCTTCCGAATCGATTCTGCAACTTCGAGTGAGGTCGGATGCATGGCCTATACTCAGACAAAATTCGATGATGACGATTGCCCCTTTTCCTATTGCTTATGTTGGGAGGATGTTTTCTAGACCCATTTCAAGCGTTGCCAACAATTACACTTGCAATGGTGAAGAAGGGAGCGGATTTTCAGGTGGCCGGATCCGTCCTCGATACATACTCGACGCAGATATCTTCTCAACTAGGAAATGTAGAAGAAAGCTAAGAAGACCATCAGAAAGCGCAAACCTTCCGCTTTCCAAAACTATCTTCCTTTTTCAGGATCTTACGTTTTAAGAGAGATATTGCTCTTGAAGTGGCAAAAACTCGCGTGAAAATTTCAGCGTCCTCGACATTTACTCGACGAAATTTGAGAGACCCTATCTTTCTGCTTGTTGGAAACGCGAAATCCAGCTCTATCTAACTCTACCTCAAACTGCTTCAAAGGTTGTGAAATGGAGGAATGCAACCTTTTCATCGAGGGTGTAGATTTCGGACGGTTTTTTTTTCGGGATTTCAGCAAATCTGACCCAGTGACAATCGCGCCGCAGCTGCCGTTGAATCGGCCGTTGATTGATACACTCGGCTGTTTGATATACTCAAGCAGGAATCAAGATTGAATCGCAACCCCGTGCCTTCAGGATTTCTGTGCATTTCTGAACGAACCTGACTTTGAGGTCACACAAAGTTAATGCCTCTTTCCTCGAGTCGATATTTCAGTAAATACACAAAAGTGTGCAGCGATGAAAGACAGTGCATAGATGACAAGATGAGGCGTCCATAACATTATTTTGCAGATTTTTTTTGATTTGTTTTGCAGGATTTTTTTGATTAATTAATTGAATTAATTTGCTCTGTTAGAGGGGGTCGTGCCAGGATCTCGATTTCGGGGGGGGGGTCGTACCTCTGCGACCACGTACTCGACACGATTTTCACCCTGGTTGAAACCCTG